TAGTCACCCATTACTCCTTTTTATAACCTATTAACTCTTGAAATTTTCATCAATACAAATTAGTATGAATCACAATCCAAATATATGTAGCTCAATCTCAATATTATGTCTTGCCATTCAATTCATTTCATACATCTGTCAGCACAGTATCAAACGAAACTTCAGGTTTTCATAACAGATAATTATTAAACCCGGATGGCCTAATTCAATTATCACATCCAGTCACTTCTCTAAATTTGAACTCTGGTCAGTTTTCAACACTAGTGATCACTTTATTAAACTTACTATATGCATGGCCATGAATGTGATGTGATATTAGAACACCAACATGTGTTTCTTTATACAATTGGCAAGACAACCAATTAATATTTTATCCAATAATTACTCATACTCTACTGGAGTTTAAACTATAAACTTGATACATGTTAATCTTGTTGGATATTTCATACTCTTCTGGAGTTTTTATATAATCATGAAACATATGAACTTTACTAAAAGTGATTTCTTCTAGAAATGTAATGATATTTACCACTTCCTCAAATTTGTCATTGTCAATAGTGACTCCTTTCCTTTTCAAAGATACTTAGTCATCTTTAGAACCTATTGATTTATCACGCTTCAGGCGACATGCTATAAGTTCATCAACAATTGATGTTGTACTTTTAGGAAATCAATTTTAAATTAGAGCATTTACAACTAGTATATGATAAATGTTATTTGTTTATATCCATCTTCAGGATGGTATCATTTCAAAATATTTAATTAACATGTAGCCACTTCTATTAAATAAATCGTTGATATTTAAGTTATTGTATATATCAAACTGACCATCAATATATTTAATTATTTATATGCAAGGATTACATACAATGTCCCCCTAATACTTGCATATGGGGGTATGGAATGAATCAATCCAACAACCTTTAAAATCCTTGCAACTTTTAAGCCATAAATTCTTTTGCCAATTCTTTTGGCAATGTCATGTATCAAGTAACGTGTTCCTTTTAGAAAAACATGCTTATATAAAATTATACTTATAGAACACTTATCATGTTCCTCATGCCCAATTACATTCTTAAAAAAAAAAAAAACCTTTTATATTTATGGGCATAATAAAACGTTGATTATGTATAGTTTCTCACAATGTCATGTTTAATTACTTGAACTCATAACCCACTTTTTTCTATATATTTAATTAATTAAGGAACTTCAAGTCCATATGTACGAGAATATATACCAATCCATCTACATTTTTCAGAAAGAGAAGGTTAAAATAAGACATGACATAATCAGTTCGAGCTTTAATCAAAACATACCTTATTCGATCCACTCAACTATACTAGCCAAATTAAAATTATTCTTTGTATTATCGTTAAGGGTTTTGAGCCATTTATATGTTCAAGCTAGTGTGAATACTCTTTATAAATATAAGGAACTTCAGGTTCGCACATCGTATTCAATTTACATATATTCCAATAATCAAACTTCAAGTAGGTACATAATACTATAATTGAATGAGAAGGTAAAAATATGAAAACCTACTACTTCACGCTTTAATAAAAACATACCTGAATCGATTGAATCAACTATACTGTCGGGTCAATTATATCAATATATTTCCTGATAGAGTTTAATTAGAAAATAGAAACAAGCACATAAGCAACCAAAATTAACACGTTCACGTTAGTGGGAAACCACATGTTTCATATCATACTTGAAATGTAAAAACATAATTCAATACATAAAATATAAATAGTTTCACATGTACCTTAGGCTTACTTCGTACAATTTACAAACATTCAAGGCATTAGACATAGGATTTCACAAACAAATTATATGGGTAAATAATTGCTAAATCAAACCATTCATATTTGCTATCAAGCATAGAGAAATAACCAAACTCATTTACGGATAGGAAAAGTAATACCAAAATCTAGCAAATATATGTAATACAATTTCATGAAAACCATACGTTCATAAAATTAACCCCAATAATAATTCTAAATACCCTTTTAGATTCAAACTAAACAAAACTCATAGTCAAAACAAAACTACTAATTAGTTATTTTGCATCAAATTCAACTATTCCCAAATTGCTCATTGAACTCTAGGAATAATAAAAATACGAAAATTTGAGAAACAATATAAACATATATATTATTTAAAGGTTTAAAATTAACAATAACATGATAGTTGAGAATGAACTTTCCTGATATCAAAACCTTTCCCACTATAAAAACCAGCCTTATCATCAACTTCATGTTATCAACGTCATCTGCTAGCCTGTAACTCATGAAAACGTCAATGAAAAGAAAATAAAGTACAGCCCTTGATAAAGGCTAATAGGCTAATCTATTATATTATGGATAGATGAGAAAGATGATTCAAGATAAACAAACCAATGCAATCAAAAAATAATACAAGTAGTTCTTTGTAACCAAATTATTAATACCGTGAGACTCCTTGTACTAGTCCCAAATTAATTAATAAGGATTGGGAATGACATGAACGTGTGATTTCATTATTAGAAGATCAAAACCCATGATCAAGATTAATCTCCTTCTAATTTCTTCCCAAGATGCGACACAACAAGATAATAATGAGTATAATTTAGCACATTCAATATACAACAAATTAATCATTAACATAAGAAATCAACAATAAAATTTACATATTGATTAGAGCTTTGGTGCTGATAACGTGTTGTAAAATACAGAGAAATATAAGAGAGATTGATAGAGAATATATTTGTTCTGCCTGTTCATATTATTCCATATGATAGGGGTATATATAGAATATTATAAGTAGGGTTTGCTTAGATAAGAATAAACCCTAGATCTAGAATATTTTGGAAAATACAAAGAGGATAATGGATATCCACACAATATTTTCATAACAATAAAAGTGTTGTAACTAAAAAAAAATGGTTTTTTCATCATATACCCATGAGTTTTTTGTTTATTCACAATATACCATCGAAATTTTTCATATTTACCATATACTATATATAATTCATCATGTACACCTAATGACAAAAAGATTAGTGGAATTTGGTTAATTATGCATTGAAACCTATATGACTATATCCCCCCTTCCCCGAAAACACTCTTCTTCTTTCTTTAACCCCCAAAACAACTCCAATCTCCATAACCATATGCGTATGATTGATTTTGGGGATGAGAAAAGAAACCTTAGTGCGGTTTTGTGGGTAGGAAAAAGGAATGTGGTGATTTTGGAAACGTATTTAAGGTGGTTTCAGGCCATAATTATCCTTAATGGCTAACGAACTTAACAATCATTAGGCAATGCCTAAAGCCAATCACACTACAAGAAAACAGGGAAATAGCGATGGACTAGTTGCGACAGACACTTTATTCCGTCGAAAAAGTGAAAATTTCCGACGGATTTTTCCGTCGGAAATTACATTTTTCTACGGATAATTACTCCGTCGAAAATTTCCGACGGATTTTCGACGGTATATAATATTTGTTTTTTTTAAAAAAACCCCTTAAGAAAACCCTAAATCCCAATCTACTCTTCCGCACCTTCTGACCTTCTCCCTTCCTCTTTCCTCTTTCCCATTCTCTCTCCTTTCTCTATTCGTTCTCTGCTCTCTCCTCTTCTTTCTTCTTCTCTTTCCTCTTCGTTCTCCATCCCCGTTCTCCTTCTCCTCTTCGTTCTCCTTCCCCCTTCTTTATCCTCTTTTTTCCCCTCTTTATCTCCCACCACCAACTTTAACCAACGTCGCACCAGTACCACCCACCAGCACCGACATCAACAACAACAACACCAACATCAATAATAACACCAACATCGACTACGAAAATCAACAACAAATTCCTCCCATTTCGCCCTTTCTCTCTCCTCATGAAGAAAAAAAAGGTTTTTAGGCCAAATTCGACCATGAAAACTCTAAATCTAGAGTTTTTGTGGTCGAATTTGGTCTTTTAAACCCAATTTCAAGGTTTTATTATGTCGAATTAAGGTATGTGTAATTTTTTTGATTTTTTTTTTGTTGTTTTATCAGATTTATTTGAATTTTGGTGTTCGAATTTTGGGGGTTGGGTCGGGATTCTATTTTTTTTTTTAATTTTTGGGTTGTGGTTGGCTTGTTTCGGTGCCGGTAGTGGTGGTTTTAGGTGGGTGGTTTTGGGTGGGTTCGATTAGGTTGGTGGGTGGGTTCGATTAGGGGGTCGGTTAGGTGGGTAGGGGTTCTGGTGGGTGTTGGTGTGGGTGGTGGATCGGGTTAGGGTCTAGTGGGTGTGGCTGTGGGTGGTGGATCGGGTTAGGGTTCTAGTGGGTGTGGCTGTGGGTGGTGGATCGGGTTAGGGTTCTAGTGGCTGTGGGTGGTGGATCGGGTTAGGGGGGCTGGTGAAACGGGTTATGGGTGGGCTGTGGGTGTGAGTGGTGGATCGGGTTAGGGGTTGGTGGTGGGGGGTGGTAGCTAGTGGTTTGGGCTGGTGGTGGGGGGTGGTATCTGGGTGTGTGGTGTGTCTGGTTTTAGGTGTTGGTGGGTGGATTTGGGTTAGTTTTGGTTTAGGTGGTCGGTGGTGGTTCGCTTAGGGTGGCCGGTGGTGGTTGTGGGGAATATTTGAGGAGTTTTTGTATTTAATTTGTTGCGGTGGAGGTGGCGGTTAAGCGGTGGGGGCTGATGGTGGTGGGGTGGTGCGACTTTTTTTTTGTTTTTTTATAAGGATTTTCTGACGGACTTTTCCGTACCTTGAAAACCTTTTCCGATGTGAAAATCCGTCGGAATTTTCGTCGGAAACACTTTTCCGACGGAAATTCCGTCGGAAAAGGTCGATTTTCCAACAAATACTATTACGACGACACGTTCCGACGGAAACACGATTTCCGACGGAAAACAGGGTGTTTCCGACGAAATTTTTCCATCGTAATTAAGCTGTTTTCTTGTAGTGTCAATGATGATATTTGGCAAGTAAGAGTGGCACATACTTTCCGAGAATGCAATAGAGCGGCGGATTGGTTGGCCAACCGCGGAGTCATTCAGAACTCTCAATTAGTTTTCTTTAATAATTCTCCATTAGAGTTTAGTCGTTTTCAAGAGGAGGATATTAGCTAGGGGTGTTGCTTTGCCTCGCCTCGCCTCATCCCTCTGTAGGTAGTTGCTTAGTTTGTTTTGTGTGCTTGTTTTTTGTTTTACTGCTCTTTTTTCTTTTTCTTGGATGTATTCATATTCTTTTGGATTAAAAAAATAGTCATAAAAGGGTATATGATGTAGTTTTTGTGAAAAGTTGGGGGTATATGATAAATGTACAAAAGTTAAGAGGTATATGATGAATAAATAAAAAACTTAAGGGTATATATATGGTGAAAAAAAAAGTAAGAAAAAGGCAATTTTGACATTTGCTACAAGTAAAAACACTACTCTTCACATTTGCCACCTGTTAATTTTTTTTTTTTTTTTACTTTGCTACCACCTAAATCACAATTTGTTAAAAATTGCTACCACTTAACAGAATCCATTAAGATTCCATTAAGTAGGGCCCAATATTTAATTAAATAATAATTTAATTTATTTTAAAAAAACTATAAAAAAAATTAAAATCTCGCCAAAATAGCCCGCCAGCCACCACTCCCACCTCCGTTGCCAGCTGCCTGTAGCCCGTTAGTCACCGCTCTCCCTCCCACTCCGTGCTGGCTGTTCCCTCGGCGCCCACGACCCCATGACCCTCCCTCCCACCTAAACACCACCCTTAAAACCGCCCTAAAGGAGTTTTAGGGCTTCGTTTTTAGGGTGGTAGTGTTGGTTGCGATTGGCCGCAATTTCCACCCTTAAAACCGCCCTTAAGGACCCCACGACCCTCTCTTTCCTATGATTTCCCACCGTTTTAGGGTGATTGTTGTGATTAGCCGCAATTTGGTGACGGTGGTTGGCCGCGTTTGGCTGTTGTTGCTGCCGCAATTTGCTGCCGTGGTGGTGAGACATGGGAGGTCGTTGGTGGTTGATTGTTGGTGGTAGCAGGGAGTATTGGTGGCTGGAAGGAGGGAGGGGTGGCTAGAAGGTGGTTGGACGGTGGTTGAGCCCCACTAACGGAAATAGTAACTGAATAATACATGTGGTAGCAATTTTTAACAAACTGTGATTTATGTGGTCGCAAAATTAAAAAAAAAAAAAAATTAAACAGGTAACAAATATGAATAATGGTGTTTTTCTTAGTAGCAGATGTCAAAATTTTCTTAAAAAAAAAAAACCTTTTAGATAAAATTCAAAAAAAATAAGAAGCCCGCCTTTCTTTCTTTCACCTTAACTCAGACAATCACTTTTACAACAATCCAACCGGAAAACAGCGACAATACGATGACGAAAACCGACGGCGGCAGCAAATTCAAATCAGCAAGGAGGAAACCTCTGCGAGATGTCTCTAATGGCGGCTTCAAATCCATTAATAAATCCTCTAAAAATCAAACTAAGTTGAAAATGGCGGAAGAACTTCCTCCTCATTCCCAAACTCAACAATCAAACATTGCCGATCCACTTGATCGTCTTCTCTTAGTTCATTCCAATATTTCTTCTCTTCTTCGTCAGGTAATTTAATCAATTTTATTTCAAATTTTACAGATTGTTTGATATTTGTAAATACTGTCAAAAACCCTAAGTTTTCAGATTGAACAGCATGGTTTCTTGCTTTGAGGTTTGATTTTTGGATTATTATACCTTAACATTCAATTGCTGGAAATGTATGATGATAATGTTTTGGATTACATTATTTTGTATCGATTATTTGTTCAGTGATAGTACTAATTTTCAATTTTACAAAGACAATCGTAGGAAAATGTGTTATTGATTCTCATTTAGGGGTTGAATTGGAGCTAACACCTGCTTATTGTTGAGCAAGACTTAGGGTTAACATTGAGTGCCTGGAAATAGTAATTGCAATTTAGAGCTTTTTATTGCAATTGTTATGTTGTTGGGGAGGTACAATCAAGAGATTAGATTGTTAAGGTGATTGTTTCTGCAGTTCTGTAGGCATGTATCGTTATGTTCTGATCGAAAGATTTGAGAATTAGATGGTAGGGTGTATAGTTTCCTGCTCTTAAGGTGCCTGGATGGGAAGATTTATTCTTATAATCGAGATATGTTTTGGGATTTTTGATCAATTTTCATGAAGATAAGGGGCATGTCAATTTCTGTAGGCACTTATCATTTTCATTCGCTGAAATTATTGGAAACAACCGATTTAGGCATGTAAAGTTGTCCTTTTGTGGTGTCTGAATGTAAGATTTACTCCTATAATTGAGAATGATTTTCATATTCTTGATCAACTCTGGTGCAGGTCAGGGTTTCTTTGCGTGCTAGTTGAAACTTTCTACAAGTTTCTACTGTATTGTAATCAATGTAATGTATTGGTTTACTAGTTTAGCTTGTCTGATGCATATGCAAGTGATGAGCATATTTTGGAGTCAAAGTAAGGGTTTCATCAGCAATTTTGTTATACGAAGTAGTACATGTATTGAGTTTACCTTAAGTGCTGCTTGTTTTGGTGTTCGAGTCTGTAAGTTAGGGGAATGAATCTAGATCAAATTTGTAATGAGGGTCCTTTGTGAGATTTCAGTTGAGCGTAGACCCGGTAATGGAACATGTTAATGTAAAAGAGGATATTGCTATAATGAATTACTATCATAAAATATTTGCATCTGATAGAGTATAAAACATATTCCTGGGCGTGGCTCTTGATACCATGTTAAAGGACCAACTCAACCAAAAACTTAAGCTTTATGGTTGAGGCTCATGAATATGTTTTATACTCTATCAACATGTGTTATAGAATGCTCATATAATCTATGTTAAATTTATAAGCTAGAAAGCTAATAACTATACTGACCAATTTCATCACTTAAAGACTGCAGTATTGAGTTTATTGCATCACTAGTTATTTGATTGGGGATTGTAAAATCTACTAGTCCAGTTTCTGAGGGTGAGAATCTATTATGCAGCTCTGCTGGTATCTTCATATAAATTGATGGCAGTGTGATGGTGAAAAATATTGAGAAATATGTAGATGAGGAAATGAAGAGCTGTCAGTGCACAGGGAGCTAGGGGGAATAAATTCTGCACAACTGAGCTTTGTCTGTGTTATTTGATTGGCTTTCATTTGCATGTTTTCAGTTTTAGAACATGCTCGGTAACACTTTCTTTGGATTATTGGAAATGGAGGGAAAGGAAAGGAAGGAAAATGGAGGGATGGATAATCTTTCATTTGAATAACAAATGATGAATACTCTTCATCATCTTTTTGTCTAATGCTCTTTCTTGCAACTTTACCTATTATTTGGTAAATGATGAGTTTCTATGCTGGTAATGTTATATGGAATGTACTCGTGCGATACTTGTGTGATTTGCCTGTGGACCATATTCATCTATCCTTGTGTAATTTGCTGGAATTTGTGGACCCTTGTGATGTTAAAAGCAAGATTTAGGCATATTTTTCTTAATTGCAGATCGATGAAATTGTAGTCCAAGCAGTCAAAGTGGATACAACTGACAATGAAAAGATTACAGAAATTAAATCCTTCATAACAGTGCTGTCTGAAATCCATTCCTCTCTTAAGGTCAGCCCTCAAATCCTCTGCCAAGATAGCCTGCTTGCTTCACCAACCATATATGACTAATTGTGTCTTTCCTGTTCACTATACTTAGCCATGGGTTCCTAGGCTTCAAAAGGCAATTGATGTTCCTCACTCTGAATCTGAGATTCAATTTTGTGAGACTCGTGTTGAAGGTCCTGTTGTGGTTGATCAAGGTAATGTGCATGAAGTTGGTACCCCGGAGCCCGCAAAGTTTGAATCATTGATCTCTCCTTCCCCACTTGTATCTTGGCGTGCTACTGGCTGTGTAGAAGAGAGAGGTAAACAACTTTTTTTCCTTACTCCTCTGCTGAGGCCAAAATCAACAACTTCCAAAGCTCATGCTTCAACCAAGCTAACTGTTTGTGAAGGGATCTCCTCGAGTGTAACTGCTGCCATTTTTTCCTCACCTTGTGATAATGAAAAATCTAAAAAGGAAAAGATCGAACTTGTTTCTGAAAATTCAGAGAGCATTTCAGGTATGAGAATTGTGTCTGCTCAGGAAATTCCGGTTGGTGACTTATCTACAAGTTTGATTACCCCCTGCCCCAAAAACCCACCTGTAAGAGCTTACGTAGAGCCTGGTCATGATCTGACCTACAGAAAAATTGCGAAATCCCATAAATCAACACCATTTCCAACTGGAAACCAAAAAATATTCGAGTCAACAGATTCTGAAGGCTCCAGTGATGAAGATCAAGAGAAGTTGGGCAATAGGTACCTTGAGCTTATTGGAATAAAACCCTCCTGTAAGTCAACATATGGAAATAGAGCTCTAGATGCTTCACCAGCATGGATAACGTCGCCACCTAAATGTTGTACATTGCTGGAACCACTTGATAAAAAACAACCAAAGGATCATGCTAGCTTGCAAGAAGTAGCTACTACTTTCAATCAGAAATTATGTCTTGATCCCAAGGAAAGCAGAACTAATGCTCATAATCAAGATGAAGAAAACAAGAATTTTTGCTTAAAAGGTATAGTATTTTAATTTGATTCTGTTACTTGTCTCTTTAAACTAAACTCGTTATAGACACCATCTGAGATTTAGATGTATCGATTGCAGGGAACACAAGGAGCAACTTTGCAACAGTAGAAAGCACTCCTTTGTGGAAGGGGTCTGAAAGCACAATTTACAGAGGCAAGCGTCCAGGTGAAAACACGTTAAAGAAGGAGCTGTGGACGAGGTTTGAAGCTGCATCAACAAATGGTCTAAACTTCCCTGTCTCAAATGATACTTCTCACAAAGGATTTATGGAAATGTTGGAGGAGGCATCCTGTGAAGAGTCGAATGTGCATCGTGATGCATTTAGGTGACTCGCAATTAGCTGAAAGGAAATTGGAGTTGTAAATGGTGGTTTTTAGCTTTTGTATTTCAATGTCTAAAGCCACCAAAAAGTGTAATCTTTATATCTAACACTTAAAAATAAGCACTATTTCTTTTATATGCATGTTAATCCTATGTTTTTTTGTTTACTACGAGGTTCATGTTTCTAACACATTTGCATGAAGATGTAGTCTAATCTGCTAAACTTAGAAGATCAGTGGCTTTCATGGATACAAAAGAAACTGGCAAGGGGACTAGCACTCCTGGTCCTGGTGCCTGGTCCCGGAACAAACAGTTACTTGCACAATGGTAATAATATTTAAAAAAAAAAGAATAATTACTAATACTTCGTAAAAACAATAGTTACTGCTGTAATATGTTTTACGAAAACAGTAACACTCACTTAAATCAGATGGACGAAAAACGTATAAATATATACTTCTATATATTCTATTGGTTTGCTAATAACAACATTTTTGAACATTATGAATAATGTGATACATTGACTTGGTGTGAATGTGTGATTATATAAGTAAAAAAAAGAAGTCAAAGATTTTTTTTCTTTATTTATTTATTTATTTATTTTTACCGTTTTTTAATTTTTTTTTAAATGTAGAAGTAATTAACTAAAAGATATTACACTAATAAAACATACTCTTAGAGTAAACCCAATAATAGCCCACAACCATTGTGTTTATAACTTAGGGGGTGTTTGGTATGCTATTTTTCTAGGCCTAGAAACGGAATTGTGATACCGTTTTCGTTAGAACATGTTTGGTTAATGAGTTAAGTAACAAAAACCGTTTCTTTCCTCTAATCCATTCCACCACTTTGTTTCCAAAGAAAAACATGGGGAAACAAATCCCGTTTCTCTCCTCTAACTCAAAAAGACAACTCTACCTCTTCTCTCTCCTCTCAAGCTCTCATATGACATATCTCCAAAAAAAAAAAATCTCAATTTTGATCAAGTTTTTCCTATTTGAGTTTTTGATCTATTTGTTGATTGTTATTTTCCATCTATGGGGTTGATTTCTAGGGTGTTCTATCCTGATTTTTCTGTTCTATTTGACTTTTACTTTAATTGAATCTCCTGCTTTTTGCTTCATGTTATTATTGCTAATATGATGCTTGAATCTTGATGCTTCCAACGTTTATCCAATTTCCAGGTGTTCTTTATTAATAATGAACAAATTTCTGTAATCAGTCTAGTAACATTATAGTATAGGTTTTTTTTTATTATTTTTTTTATATATGATTGTAACAAAAATGCAAATTGCTTACAACATACACTAATCTCTACATGTTTGATCTTTCCTAGATTTAGGATTCATTTTTGGGTGCTCATAACCTGTTTGATAAAAAGCCTAGCTGAAAATTTAACTACATGAATACATGATAGTTTGTCTCTGTTTTACTACAAAACCTGTTCTTGCATTTATACAAAATTATAAACGGTAGCATGTTATTGCTTATTGTATGTGACCAGAACCAGAAATGCTTGTACTATCCACTTTATCGAATTCGGCTAATCTATTTTACTCCCTAATACTCTAATTAATAAAGGGATAGCATAAGACGAAGGCAAGATACAGAACCTAGTAGGAAAAAACAATCTTATATCCTATCTTTAAGTTGATCAAGAAGATTTGGCTAAAATGATCAAGAAGATCAGTAAATAGAAAACTGTTGTTGCTCATATACTAGGCTCATTGTTGCTCTTTTTTGTTTCCAAGTTATCTATGCCAAACAAGAGGAAACAGATTGGTTGTAATCATTTACGTTTTCTTAAGAATACCAAACAATTAGTAAGGGTAACACAATATATTACCCTTTCCCCCCCTAATTTGTTTCCATTCCGTTACCTTTACTAATTTGATACCAAACACCCCGTTAGTGTATTTCATTAATTTCTCTATCTTTAATTATTTATGGCTAGACTCTAGTTTAGCCATTTATCCCTACACCCCCCCTAAACGACGCGTACCACTACCCCCACACATCCCAACCTACCCCACAGTAACTTCCTTCTAAAACCACCAGTAACTTCCCACTACCCCACCCATATATATATATAATTAAAAAAAAAACTTTTCAAATGATCTTATTTACTCTGCATTTTCTCTCTCATCCTCTTTCTCCAATTTCTCACTCAACCTCCATTTTCTCTCTCTACTCCATTTTCGTACATGCAATTAGCAAGTAAAATCGTCTAAAATGTCCGACATAAGAGACGAAATTGCACAATCTCGACAAATTTCAACAAGAACAAACCAAAAATCTAATGAGTAAGTATGTTTTACATGTTTAGTGTAAAATTAATTGAAAATTGCGAAACAAAACCCTAATTTTTTGGTATTTTTTCTTTTTGATGATGTTTCAGGAAAAAAATTGAAAATCCTGGAGTTCCAGAACAATCAAAGTAAGTATTACTAATTTTTTTGGAATTATAAGCATAATTTTATTTAAATTTGCTCATATTTAAACAAGTTACTGTTTAATTTCAATATAAACATAATTTTCCTCTATTTCTGAGACGATAATAAAAATTTAAACAAGTTACTGTTAATATTGGAATGTATGCATAATTTTGATTAAATGATCAACCAAAACTATATAAAATATACAAAAAAACGAACTGTGGAAAAAAAATATAACGTATAGTATTGTGAAATATAATGAACAAACACAAAACAGTATATGTTCAAATTGGATGGTGTGCATATATGTGTGCATATACATATGTTCAAATTTGTATAGTATGTGTACATCATGCAATTTATGTTTGTTTCTAAATTGTTCATTTATAAATTTATGTGTATACATTTACTGACATATTAATTGTTCATTTCTAAATTTCATTTTGTACAAGTAGAAAACATATACTTTATTCATCTGTGTAGTAAAATGAACATTTACAACACTATATGGTCAAAATTCATATTATGTTATATATATCCATATATGTGTATACAAATGTTCATTGCTACAACTATATTGATCATTTATATGAACTATTCTGTACATTTGTCTAACATAGAAACATCATGTCAATTTTTATGTTTTACAATATAAATTTACATTGTAGTGATGTACCATTTAAAGTGATACACTTGATGCAATTTGACAATGGAATGTTCAATCCTTATCCTATAATTCATGAGAGAAAATAATGTTTTGAAATAGACAACAAATTGGATAGAAATGAAGTTATAAAAAAGTGGGAACCCTATTTATTAGGAGACAACCTACATCCCAAGTAAGTTGATGTACTTACAAATATTCATATATGTAATATTTAATGTACAATCATTTACTTCAATACTTAATCTCATAATTGAAATAATTTGTAAAATTTTAGTGAACCAAAAAAGTTGAAAGTGAAATTTATAATGTCAAGATCAAGGCCAGAGAAAAATCAATCAATAAGGTATAAATACTTAATAAAAATTCAATAATTAATTTTTATACAGTTACATAATCATACTTTTATGTATTAACATTCAAAAAAATTTCAGTGAACAAGAGAAGGAAACTTCAAAAATAGATGATGCATCAACAAATCAAGGGTATATTCTACCTCAATGTGTTTAATGTTCATTTATTTCTTAGTTGTCATACATAATCTAATGATTTGCATTCTCAGAAAAAAAATAACTGAAGAGGAAGCAAAAACTGATCACCTACAACAAGAAAAGGCTGGATCAGAATTAGTGAATACAGGGGATTTGATTCCCATAATGTTCATTTTCATATTACTTAATAAACATTTTTAATCATTTGAAATTAATTGATTTTCAGAAATCAATCACCTAAGAAAGACACAAGAGAGGTTGAACAACTACAACCAAAAAAGGATGCAGCAGGGTATTTGATCAACTAATGTTCATTTTCATATTAGTTGATAAACATTTTTAATCATTTTCAATTTTTAATTTTCAGAAATGAATCAACTGAAGATGAGCCTCCAAAAGAGGCTACAGCAAAGGATCAGCCTGCACCACAAGTGAAGGCTATAGCAGAGGATGAGCCTTCAGCAGAGGAAGAGCCTCCAAAAGAGGATGAGCCTCCAGCAGCAGTTGAAGAAACACATTCATACATAATGCAAAAGTATGAACATATATAACTTATTAAATGTTTCTATTCCACATTTACAATATTATTGATCATAAATTATCTGTTGCCAGGAAAAAAATAAAAGTGTCACCTCAAGGAATACTAAAAAAACTGACCAAAAACTGGAAAACTGCTCCTGTTAGCAAGGCCATTGCTGCTAAAAAGGCCCCTACTACAACTGTTAATACTGCTGGAAAAGCCACTGCTGCTGAAATGGCCCCAGCTACAACTACTGAAAAGTCCTCTGCTGCAGAAAAATCCCATGCAGCAAGTTCTGCCAATGCATAACAGAAGGCCCCTGCTGAAATTAAAAAAATCCTATTAGGTAATGTACATAATTGTTAAATTAAATATCAATAACACTTATACTGAAAATGTTCATTTACCAATTTGTAAATGATCAAAATGTATAGGTGGTGAATAAATTGAGATTGAGGATGAAACAGAAGAAGAATTGGAAAGACAAAGACAAGAAGAATTGCAAAGGGATGAGGAGTTGGCAAGAATATTGAGAGGTATAAAACCTGTTGAAGAGTTAAATTTGTCTCAAAAGAGTGAAGAATCTTCACAAAATTCAAAGAAACCAAGAAGGAAAATGGTTGCAAGGAAAAATCAAAAGAAAAAAGAATTGGAAGAAAATCAGAAAAACAGGAAGATGAACAATCACTAGCAAGAAGAACAAGAAGTAAATCACAAGGTAAATAAAATGTACAATTTCTTATATAACAATGATCATATTAAACAAAATATTACAACTATATTAATATTTATATAATAATGTTTATTTGCAGATGTTAAGTTGCCTAGCATATCAGCTATAGCAACAGCTGCTGCAGCAATTGCTGAAAACCTACTAGCAGCAACAACACCCAAAAAACCTGGGCGTCCAAGGGCTGCAACTGCAGTTGCAGAGAAACCTGCTGAGAAAACAGGGCGTACAAGGGATGCAGTTATTGGGAAAACAGGCCAAAAAGGTAAAAGAACATATCTAAAACAATAAATGTTCAATTACAATCTTACACTTTGAAAATGTTCAATTACAATCTTACACTCTGACCACCTAATTAATTGATCAATTATATTAAGTAAAATAAACATTTTCAAAGTGTAAGATTGTAATTGAACATTTATTGTTTTAGATATGTTCTTTTACCTTTTTGGCCTGCTTTCCCAATAACTGCAGCCCTTGTACGTCCTTTTTTCTCAGCAGGTTTCTCTGCAACTGCAGTTGCAGCCCTTGGACCATCATAGATCAAGTGCCTTATGATGAACCATCAGAGGATGAAGAACAAGAAGAAGTCCCTGCAACAAGTTCTGCTCCTGCAGAAAAGAAAATTTTTAAAAAAGTAGAACAAAAAGGTAATGTACATATTAATAAAGTTAAATGTTCAAACACAAACTAGCAATTTACACTTTCATATATATGTTCATTTTACATATTATAATTGATCAAATGTTTAGGTGGCCAGAAGAGGCCTTCTGCATCAGCTAAAGGCCCTTTGAAGAAAACAAAAATCATTGAAGAACAATCAGAGGAGGAAAATGAAGAAGATGATAAAAGTGATACTGATAATGGATCAGACAGTGAGGATCTAGCTTTTGATGCTGAAAAAGAAGAAGATGAAGAAAGTGAGGAGGTGGAAGTAGTTCAAGAAAAGAAAACAACATTGAAAAAACCAAAAGTTGAAGAAAAAAGAATGGTTTTGTATGAGAGGGAACCAATAAAAAAGATTATGAAGAGGAAAACTGAACTTTCAGTGGCTAAAAAGAAAGAAGAGGAGGAAGAAAAGAATGAAGAGGAAGTTGGAAGTTTGACAAGAGGAGGCCATGTCAAATTCATGCATTGGGTTAAGAAAATGAGTGATACACAGAAGAAATTAGTGCATGAAATAGGACTGGGGCCGTTGTTGGATATAGAACTTCCTCAGCTTGACAAACAATTCAGCCATTGGGTTTTAGATAGATTTGAAGTCAGTAGTTGTAGTTTTGAGCTGCCTAAAGGTGAGAAAATTGAAATTGAGGTGGAAGATGTGAGAATTGTTTATGGTTTGCCAATGGGAGACATTCCCATTATTGAAGCCAAATCAGACAGAGCAAGTGAAGATTTTGGTGTATTTATGAAAAATTGGAGGTCAAAATGGCAAGGCAAAACACCATCTGTAAACCAAATTATTGCTCAATATACGAGCGATAAATTCAAAAACCAAAGGCCAGCAGAAGAAGATTTTCTCACAAACTTTTTGGTAGTTGCTGTGAATTGTTTGATGAAGTGTATTTCAAACAACCAATGCCATTTCAAGTTTCTGTTTTCTATGATGGACAAAGAAAAAATAAAAAACTTGGATTGGTGTCAGTACGTGTTTGACTCTCTCATCATTTGCCATGTGACATGGAGAAAGAGTGGAGGAAAAGGATTCTACAATGGACCACTGCAATTTCTGATGGTAAGTTTACAAAACACAATAGTAAATTATAAAATGTTCATTTTAGTAACAATGAATGTTCATTAACAAAATGTTAAATATCTATTTCGTCTCAAATTTTAATCTTTTATATTAATTGTTCATTTGTTTTATATTATATGTTCATTTATAATAATGGGTTTTGGTGCAGCTGTTCTACTTTGACAGAGTTCAAAGATTGAACAAAAAACAACCAAGAACAATTCCAATAATTTCTTGTCGGACAAGGGATATGTCACTTGAAAGGATAAAAACAGAAAATGATTTGAACTATGGATATGGAAAAGTCCTTCCAAGAATAGAAGAAAATCCTGAAGACAATCCTAAGGTACAAAATGATCATTTATAAATTATGAAATGTTCAATATCAAAACACATAATGTCTTATATGATTTTTTTTATATGTTCTATAAATGACAGGTCTTTATGAATGAATTTGCATCAATGGTACAAGAAGTTGGTGCATCTTTGGCAAGACTTTCTACCAAATTGGTTAAGGCAAAAGAACTCTTCCCTGGGAATCAGTTGGTCAAGAAGGTAGATGAAGTGTTGGGAAAGATGGCAAGAGAACCATCAATTCTCAGCCAAGATGAAGAAATATTTGGATCAGAGGATTTTTTGAATGCCATAGCACAAATTGAGAAGGAACTGATGGAGGCAAGTGAAGCAGAAAAAAAGAAAACAGGAAATGAGAAGGAATATGATATAAGGAAGGCATTCAGTTTGGGTTGCAACTTAACTCCCCCAACTCCAACAACTGGTAAATATGCTTAATTAAAAACTGTCATTAATTTGAATATCCTTACTTAAAGAGTATAATATAATTAAAGAATTAAATTTTAATTTATTTGAACACAGAAGCACAGATTAATGTTGCAGCCACAACTTCAACAACAACTGATGCAAATGTTTCTTCTAAGCCAGAAAAGGGTAAAGCTTTAATATCTATGTACAATTATGAAAAGTATAATGTTCATTTATAAAATAATAAGTTTGTTTAGTCTAAATATTCAAAAAAGTATATATTCAGAATAACAAATGTTCATTTACATTAACAATTTCATATATTTTAAATCAACAGAAAGAGTTGGAGGTTCAAATTCTGAAGAACCACAAGATGGAGGAAATTCAAAAAAAGGTAAAATGTTCACTTATATAGTAATTAATGAACATTTGTGATTGTAAAATATTCTTCTTTAATGATACTAAGTCTATATATGTGTGAATGCAAATTAATACAAAAAGTATTAAACAAAGGTGAAGGTTCAAAATATGAAGCATTAGAAGAAAATGTTGAAGGAAATTCAAAGAGTTGGTACAATGTTCACATATTACAAATAAATGATCAAATTATTAAGTATAATGTTCATTTTTAGTTATATAAATTTTCTTTCATGTATTTTGTTTGCAGCATCTGATTCAAAAGTTGGTGATCCCAAGACACCAACTGAAAATAGGGAAGCTGCTGGAGATATTTCTACATTCTTGAAATCTCCAGCATGTTCAAGTATGGAAGATGTCCTTGATAAATCAAACAAGAAAGGAGGAAGCATGGGGTAAACATGGAAGACCTATCTTGTTAGAAAATATAGAATTTTGAATGGACATGTAGATAAATTTGGTTATAAAGTGTAATTATTTTGGACAGTTTTTGTTTATAAAGTTAGTAATGGATATGTATTATAAAATCAGAAGGGAATATTTTGCTTTAGGGTAGGAATGCACAATTTAAGATATGTAAATTATGTATTTTAATTTAAATGTCTTAGTAATATTTTAAGTGTTTATGGTTCAAAAAAGGAGAATAATGTTTTTTTTTTATATTAATTACTCTTCATTACTAACCATGATTAATATTTCAGAGAAGACAAGAAGAAACAGTTATATGCTTCAAATGTGAAGGAAAAGTAAATGATTATTCCACATATACATGTTCTTTTTCATTAAACTGAATAATCATTTATACTATATTTATATTCAGTGAGACAAAAAAGGATTCAAAAGAAATTGAAGCAGAGAAGATTCAAATTTCCAAAAACACAACAGGACAAAGGTAAATGGTCTTTACATGTGTATAGATTTATAATGTTCATTATCAATATACTAAATGATCATTCATAATTCAATATTTATTCAGTGACAGAGAGAAGACTTTGGAAAGAAAAAAATCAAGAGAAGCTAAGAAGGCAAAAACTGAGATTGCAAAGGAAAAAGAGATAAGGTATTACTATTTGTTCTTTATATAAATTATTTGTTCATTATTAAAAAATTCATATTTGTATTACTACATGGTCACATTAACTAGGCCACAAAGGGAAATCCCAAATGTTCCTCTTGCTTTCCGATCTCCATACATGGTCAAGTACAAGGATTTGTTCAAAGATAAAGACACAATGAACAAACTTGTAACAGACTATGCTTATAGTGCAAAAGATCAAAGGTATACATCACTTACTTTATTAAAACTTTAACATTATGTTTGTTGTAAACTCATAAAATTTAAAAAATTGATATTTTGCAGTGAGCTACTATACTATGATGGAGTGAATTTGATCAATAGGGCAGAGATGAAAACTCTTGAAGGGGATACATTAGTAGTTAACAATGTCATCGATTCATGGGCAGTACTTCTGAATCAAAAAAGGTCAAAGAACAAGTTATACTTTTCAACATTTCCACATGTAAGTCTTTATTGAAATTACACATGTATACATTGGTGTACTAAAATGATCAATTCACTTATACTAGATGATCATTATGAATATTAAAATGATCCTGTGCATTATTTGCAGCAAATTATGTATGCAAATACAGTGTGTCCTGAAGGATCATCAATGGAGCTTAGATTGCATACTTCAAAGAAAGAATAACAAATGAATTGAGGTTATACAAAATCAAGAGTGCAGTTGGATATCAACAGGTATTAATGAACAATATGGAATTATAATATGTTCATTTACATTAATGTGTATATATAATAATATTGTGTACTATGTACAGATTTTTTTTCCAGTGGCCATATATGCACATTTCTATCTTCTATGCATTGATCATTTCAATGAGACAATGCATATAATTGACAACAGGAAACTGCCAAAACATCAAACAATTGCAACAAAGTTGTAAACCAACCCCAATTGGTGGTAAGTATATTGTTTAATAGATATATAAATGATCAGTTTGTTTATACAAAATGATAAATATTGAAAATTAAAATGATCAATATTAATATGATCCTTTGAATTTTTTTTTTCTGTATATGTTGCAGTTAAAAGGATATGCAGAACACTTGAAAGGGTTGGGGGTATGAAGATGCAGATTCTATTGAGAAATATAAGGTGGTTTTGCAAAAAATGAAGTGGAGGAGCAACGAAGATTACACCAACTGTGGAGTGTACATTATGAAACATATGGAAACTTTCACTGTTGATCCCAATGAAGAATGGGTTTGTGACCTAAAACCAAACAATGTAAGTAAATTTCAACAAAACAAAAAAATATACTTCATGATCACTTTATAATACATAATGATCATTTATATCCCATTAATGTTCATGTTTATAATAAATTATTTTCCTGAAACAGGTGAACCAAATCAGAAAGCTCAGAGTACAATACACTGCTCAACTAATGCTGAATGAAGGAAACAGGCAGTCACAGAACAATAGAAGAGCAGCAAGAAGATTTGCACAAGCTTAATACAATATGTTCATATATAGACATATATATGATCATACTTGCTTTCAGTATTTTTATGGACATAAGTTTTTGTTGTTGTTCAAGTAAAGACAAAATTTATTATCTTTTTAATATTTACAAATAGTAAAGTGTTACATTATAATTGCCAGTTTTAAATCATCTAATATAATTATTCCAATTTAATAATGGTTCTTACTATTTAAAATAGTAAATGATCACTTCCAAAAGCAAAAATATCATTTATAGAACATTTAAGAATAGTTTGAAAAAAAAAAAGATTCAAATTACTTAATAAATCAAAATATAAAAAACTTAAAGCACTTGAATCTCTATAAAGTTGAGACAACTAAAAATGTTGATAGTTAAACACCAAAACATAATTGCATATTGATTTACTCTCTTATTTACCATTTGTAGCCAATATCTTAGCCACACTAGTATCAAAAAACGCTAATAACCTATCATATTTGTTTGAAATATGTGGAGAACCACCTTGAGTACTTCTTGAAACAGTAGGAGATCCTTGAGCATTCCTTGAAACACTAGGAGAAACTAGAATATTCCTTGAAACACTAGGAGAAACTTGCACATTCCTTGAATTTCCTTGAGTACTTCTTGGAACATTAGGAACATCATGCACATTTCTTGAAATACTAGGATCAACTTGAACATTCCGAGAACAGCCTTGAGTACTTCTTGGAACATTAGAAGGAGCTTGAACTTTCTTCGGAACACTAGAACGAACTTGAACATTTCTTGGAGCTTTTGGAGGATTTTGAACAATGCTAGAAACTTTAGAAGGAGCTTGAGCATTGATTTTAGCATGCACAACTGTGGGAAATTGTACATTTCTTGGTTTATTTGGTGGCAATTGAGAACTTGTTGGAACATTATCAACATCATGAGCAATTGCAGCTGTTTTACCCTAATGATCAAAATTAAAATAATTAATGATCAAATTCAAAATTCATAATGACCAATTACAAAATTAAAAGGTAGATGATTAATATTTCACCTTAACAATAGAAGATATGTCTGGATCAACAGTAACGTTTGATTGCATAGAGCTATATCTATATTTCTATAACAAAATGAAAATTATAAAAACATTATAATCACAACTTAAACTACTGAAATGAACAACTACAATTACATACATAATCATTTACATAATACCTGTTCAAAGTCATTTGAAACACTATCATCTGAAGGGATATCTTCTACAATGGCAGTCTTTTTATTACAAACCTTGAAAAAAAAATTAAAAGTAAAAATGTTTTATATTCTAAAGAATTTGATAAAAACAGATAAAAAAAAAGAAAATACGTTTTTACCTGAGCATTTGGATCTTCAATCACAATTAACTCATTAGGATCAGCCAAAGAATTAGCATAAGATATAGGACACCCATTCTCGTCCAATTCCTAAGGTAAAACAAAAATGTTCAATTCTTGAACATAAATGATCAATAACAAAAAAGTAAATGTGCATTATTACCTGAACTACTGCTTGACCTTTAGATCTTTTATAAGGAGTGTATGCTGACTTTTTTTCATCCACTGACCCCTGGCTTTGTTATAAGCCTTCTCTAAATTACTCTTAGGCCTATAATTCCTCTCTCCAATAGGTCTTGATTTTGCCGGATTCTTAACTTCATGATCAACAATTTCAATACCTTCAACCGGTTCATTAAAATCAATAGTACCAGTAACACTCTCAATCTTTTCTTTTAAAATATTGAAATAACATTCAACCTCTGCTCTAGCATTCAAAGAGTATTGACAACTTGTTACCAACTTAACAAATTTCCTTAGTGTTTGTGTCCTCCAAACACTTGTAGATACTACATTGGTTTTCATTGTAGGTTCATCAAGGCCATGACTACACATAGCAGCCTTAGTCCACCTCTTACATATATAGTCATCTGGAATCTTATGAACACAATTCATATGATAAATTCGAAGAGCATGAGAACAAAGCAAACCCATTTCACTAAACAACATGCATGTACAACATATTGCATGTGTTTCTTTATTAAAAACAACCTCGTGCTTGATCATATCTTTCCCAGGTCTCCACAAATGATAATAATATTCAGGAAAATTCACACCAGCATCCTTATGATCACAAGTAGTACCCTTAATGAACTCTTCCTCAAAAAGCACATAAGCTTGAATAGTATACAATGATCTAGCATGAACAAGAATCCCAATGTATGCAAAGGCCAAATGACGATTACCTCTGATTGTATTATAATCTCTCCCTTTTTCTTTGCTTCTCCACTCTTGAACCACATCGAGAAACACTTGATAGAAATCACATAGACCTTGTGTCTTGTTAAGCCTTTGAGAAACTGATTTGTTAGTTGTCTCACTACGTTGAGATGAAAGCACACCTCCTGACCAATATTTCTTTGAAAAAGCTGGACACCACATCTCTTTGATTTTATACAAATCATTCAACCAATCAACATTTGCACAGTCATATTTCAACAACATTCGGTAAATGAAACATGATCATTAAGCATAACAGTTATGATCATTAGAAATAAACATTTATAAAAAACTAAATGTTCATTTCTGTAAAAATTATTTAAGAAGCTAAACAAGTATAAAGCAGAAGTACCTTTTCCAATAATGCTCAAATTCTGGTTGAGTTTCACAATACTTCAGTAAATAACCAAATAAATCAGTGAAACCATCCAAAGCTCTCAACGCCCCAATGTGTTTCTTAGAATTTTGTTCAATATGCCACACACATAATCTATGATGAACACCTTTGGGGAAAATATTTCTTATCCCAGCTGCAATTGCTTGAGCTTGATCAGTCATAATAGTAATAGGACTTATCCTTCCCATAGAAGTTAGAAAAGTATCAAATAACCACTCAAATGATTCTGTTCTTTCATTAAGTATAAATCCCATGCCAAACATCACATTATTTGCATGATGATTCATACCCACAAATGGAGCACAAATCATACCATATTTGTTAGTCCTATAAGTAGTATAAAAAACTAACAAATCACCAAAGTAATGATAATCTCTCATCATCCTTCCATCTCTCTAAAAGAAATTAACCAATGCACCATTTTCATCTTGTTCAAAGTCATAATAGAAATCTGCTTCATCAATTTGTCTCTTAGCAAAAAATTTGATTAGTTGATTGCTGTCACCTCCCTCAAGTTTAGCTCTCTTTTCAATAGAAATAGCATTATAAGCATCAGGAGCTGTAAAACAAAGGTTAGGAGACCCTCCAACCTCCTTCAAAGCTCTTAAAGAATCAAAAACTTTAACTCCACTCAATCTAAGTGTAGAAATGAAATTAATATGTTCCTTAGAAATATCCCTTTGAGACCTTATTAAATGTCTCTTGTCAACAGGAATCATTTCATGATTATGAACCATATCATGTCTTGTACATGTATATACACCTGAACGGTCAATACTAAACTGCACAAAAGCTAAGCAACCAGTCCTTATGTTAAGTCTCTCATACAGCCTATTATTCCTGCACTTATCATCTTTAAAACCCTCATTTGTACAAACAAATCTTTTCATAGAGAATGAATCATCTCTTCGCCTCTTACTTTTTCCAATTCTAATTCCAAAGCCCTTTCTAAATGCATATTCATTAAACATTTCATAAGCCACATCTTCAGAAGGAAATTGTTTCCCATAAAATTCAGAACTAGCTGCTTCCTCAAATACAATAGCATTCTTTTTTTCCACTTCAATATTAAAATGTAACAAATGAACACAAATAATAGCAATAATGTACAATTACAATAGTGATTTTAATAAATTACAGTGCAATAACCACATGTAAACTGTTAATGATCATTTATCATTACATAAATGAACATATATCAAAATGATAATAAAACATATAAATGAACATTTATGATTACATAGATAAATATAAATTACAGTAATTACACCTATGTTAACGTAAATGTACATATAATCTAACATACATGAGCATTAATTGAATGTCAAATTTTATAAAACTATAGCCAATCATCAAAATGCAGAAAACTGGAAAAAACATCAATCGAATAACAACATTACAAAGAAAAACAATAAAATCACAACAATACATCACAAACTATAAATTAAAAAAATCATAAATAAAAATGAAATCAAATATTATAATCGACCATAATTTTGATTTTAATTCATACAATAAGCAAAACTACAAAACCAAAAATTATAATTAAGCATTATATAAACTATAGTTCATACAATTAGCAAAACTATGAAATCAAAATCGAACTATTACAGGCGAAAACAGAGCATAATCAAAATCGAATGTTTGAGGGAAAAATTACTCACATTGTTTCGAAAACGAGTCGACTAAACCAACTCCAGCAGGAAAAATAGAATCACAATCACGATCAAAAGCAATTAAGCTAGAATCACAGTCACGATCAAACACAATTGAGCTAGAAATTTCCATGGAAGAAGAGAGAGAAAAATTGGGGGAAAAATAAAAAATGCAGGAGAGAGAAAATGAAATAAGTAAAAAAAGAGAGAAATAAAATAGAAATTAGGTTAAGAAAATAATTATATAGTTTCTTGAATAGAAAGTTTACAAAAATGAAAAAAGATGAAGAAAAAAAAAACAAAATTGCAGAATGATTCAATATAAAACGACGTAGTAGCATGGGGGTGTAGGAGAAGCTAGCTACCCTAGAGTCTAGGTAAAAATTTGCCCTCTATCTTCCATCAGTTATAGTGGCGGAGGGACCGAAGGCTGGTGGAGGCCTGGCCTCCCCGGCCCAAATTTGCATTCTGTATTTTCAATGCTATGGCTCCCCTAAAATTATTACATATACTATTGAACACACATAAATTTTAGTAAATAAGGCTTGTTATGTTAGTTAAGGAGAGGTGTTTCTCATGAGGGAGTTGAGATTGAATCCTATTCCAAACATATTTTATTTTTTATTTGGCCGTCTAGAAAGGCTATTTTACATTGGGCTTTCTTAGAGCATCAACACTCGTGATATAATTTTATACCACGGTGTAAATATTCATCAAAAGTTGCAAATTTTTACTACTTTGGTGGCATAAAACTATACCATCAAATGGTATATACCATTCCATGGTAAACTTTTGCTTCGTTCCACGTGAAACATGAACCAACCAGGTCATGCCATGTGGCCTGGTTGTCATACATCTTTTATTTATTTTTCAATTGCATTTTGAGAAAAAATTATAAAGTAAAAAATTATGAAAAATTACTATTGTTCATAATTTTTCAAGACATAACATAGACACCCATATTGATATAGTTTTATATATTTTTGAAATTCACTTTTTTCTATCGAAATTGCTTATTTTTATTTAATTAACTTTATAAATAGTAATTAGTTATTTTTAACATAAAACAAAATATAATTATGATTTAATTAAGTGTATAATTCATATATATAGGAAAGAGAAAGTGTGTTGGTAAACTTTTTTTTATACCATGGGTGGGGTGGTTTTTGGAGAAAGTATATTGTATTGTGGTATAGATGATGTGGAGGAGTGAGAAAGTGGTAGAGAGAGAGGGGTGATATGAATTTTTATACCATGAGTGATGATGGTCTTATTAGGTATTGAGTGAATATGGGATAACATTTTAAGACTATGAGATAACTTTTTGAGATAATGAGTACTTCTTCTGTGTTTAAATAAATAAAACATTATCCTTATGCACGTATATATATGGGGTATAAAATTTTGACAGATATTATCTTTAAGCATATTTTTGTGAAAACTACCCTATAGAGCACTTTTTTTTGCGAAAAACTAGCTAATAAAAAAAAATGTTGTAAGAAAAAGGATAAATGTTATAAGAGACTACTCTTGGTCGAAAAGTCATCGTTGACTTTTATTTTCCGGCGTTGATCATGTCACGTACCAATTAAAAGAAACGAGGGAAATGATGAATTAAACATTAGTCAAAGCGAATTAAATCCTAACACACAATTGGGATTGTTAACAATAAACTATGGTAATAATAATGTCAAAAATTAAAACTTGTCAAGGAACATAAACGAGGAATTGAAGTGTTAAAAAAGATGCCGATCGAGAAAATAAAGGAAGCTAAGAAATGAATAGGTAAAGTTAAGAGTTGCAAATGGTGTTGGTGGAGATTGGTTGAGAATTGAGGAAGGATGGTAGCTAGTGTTGGTGGAGATGGGTTTGTTTTCATTTTTAATTTTAATAACTTACCCTTAGCTTTCAACTAGAAGAACAACACAATAGGCAATTGAAAGATCGAGGGTGAAATTCGACTTCAAATAAATCGCATGGAATGGGTTCACAATGTTAAGATATATTAGTATTAATATATCTTTGACTTAGTATATATATGTAATTATTCTGTTTTCCTAATTTGTAACTTAGCATATATTTTAGTGTATAGCTATCCCTTGATTTGTGGCATAAGATAAGCATGTAATGTGTATATATAGTCACAGCAAGTCTAATGGAAAACTCACGGAATACAATTCCTTCATGGTATCAGTTGCTTAGGGTGTTTTTTTCCGCTGCTCCCTAATACTGTTCCGCCTCTTCTTCTTCTCTTTTCTTCTCTTCTCTTCTTTCTTTCTCTGTTATTCTCCTCTGTTTTACAGTAACAATGTCGGATAGCAAATCCTCTTTCCACCCGGCATTTACTGTCTCGAATATTAAGAGAAACATCCCAATTACTCTTGAATTGGAAAATGCTGCGTATTCTACTTGGGCGGAACTATTCAAAATTCACGCTCGGTCTCACAAGGTTCTCGACCATATTATTGCTCCGAAGAAGAAGGTGGCTTCCCCTTCAACCGATGAGGAAAAGGAGTTATGGTTGACGTTGGATGCACTCGTTCTAGGGTGGATTTATTCGACAATTTCAAAGGATCTTTTGCAGACAATTATTGAACCGGATTCAACGGCGATGGAAGCTTGGGAAAGGTTGCGTGATATTTTCCAAGACAATCAGAAATCTAGAGCCGTAACCCTTGAACATGAATTCTCCAACACGAAGATGGAGGATTTCTCTAACGCCTCGGCGTATTGTCAAAGGCTCAAAAGCCTTTCCGACCAATTGAAAGATGTAGAGGCACCGGTGGACAACAACCGGCTTGTGCTTCAATTGGTTGCCGGTCTCACAGACTCCTGCAATGGTGTTGCTACTCTCATCCAACAAAGCAGCCCCCTCCCTCAATTTTACCAAGCCCGATCGATGCTCACGTTGGAGGAGGCGGGTTTGGCTAAGAAGGCTGCTCATTCCGCTACAGCTATGGTGGCGGCTCTTCCCGGGATTCTGACTTTGGCTCTGATTCGGGTTCCTCACGTGGTAAGAACAAGAATCAGAAGAAGAATGGTAACCGCAAGCAAACGGGTGGTGGCCAGAACGCAGGGGGTGGTTGCAGCACCAGTCCTGGCGGCGGTCAGAACACTGGTGGGGGTCGCGGTGGTCCGGGTCAACAACAACAGCCACAGTGGGGGTCGGTTCCTCCATGGCATCCCCAATACCAACAGTACCCACCTTGGGGGTATTTTCCTCAATGGACTACTCCACCTTGTCCATACCCAACCCAAGGTTGGGCCAGACCTCAAGGCCCAATGAAGCAGCAACATTTTAGCATACTAGGCCCTCGCCCACAACATGCTTATGCGGCTTCTCAACAGTCTTATACTCCGACAGATATCGAATCGGCTATGCACATAATGACATTGAGCCAACCAGACCCCTCGTGGTATATGGACACCGGTGAAACTTCGCACATGACATCCTCCAATGGTAATCTCCCGTCTTATTTTAATTTGAGCAATCATCATAATGGTATTATTGTTGGTAATGGTCATTCAATTCCAATTCGTGGTTGTGTTCATACTACTTTGCCTTCCCCGAACCCACCCTTGTCTCTTTCTAACGTCCTTCATGCACCAAAACTCATCAAGAAACTAATTTCTGTTAGAAAATTTACAACTGATAATTGTGTGTTTGTTGAGTTTGACCCTAATGGTTTTTCTGTGAAGGATTATCAGACGGGGATGCTAATAATGAGATGTGATAGTCAAGGAGATCTATACCCACTCACTACCACCTCTTCAACCTCTTCTCCATCAACCTTTACGGCCTTATGTAGGGAATAATTTCAAGCGTTAACCCCTAGCTTGAACCCCACTGTGATCATACACTAAAGTACAGTGGCGCCCAAAAGGGAAGAAGATAGAGCAAAAGAGTCGCCAACAAGTTTTAGGAACTTGTAAACCGTTCACATGGTGAATGTTACACCCCTTAACGATCCAAGAGATCGTCAACTCCATAAGGTCTTGAACCAAATAAGGGTTCGGGGATGAAGGTACAAATCCAACATAAAAGAGATTGAACCTGCCCTAATAATAGACCTCTACTTTATTCAGATCGTATTCATGTGCGCTTTCTGATTAACATGCAATCAATAGATTTACCCTAAACCTGTTTATCTATGTTGGTTGAATTTAATGCACAAATAAATCTATTATTGGCGATCACTTGAATTATAATCAAATTAACCCTAAACAAGATTATTAATTATCTTATTAAGCTTGATTACAAGTACCAAATTCCCTTTAGATATGCATAAAAGGTGTGATCAAGCAATAAAAATAAAAAATATCAAGCAACATAATAATAATAAAATAATAACAATAATCAAAATAATAGTCATCATAATAACAATCATCATAAATAAAATAATAATAATAATTACAATAATAAACATAAATCATGTTAAAGCATAATAAAAATAGCAAGATCCTAGGCATGATACTAACAAGATTAATAACAAACCCTAGCATGTCACTAAGCAATCAAATCTTTAACCCTAACATGATACTAACAATCATAAATATTAGGAATAACATAGGAAGCATCGTAACAATCATATTTAATATTAAAAATTACCCTAGACATGATATAGGAATATCATAACAACAATATAAACATGATTTCTACATCATAATGTCAATAAATCAATTAAAGTACTTACTTTGATGCCTCGTACCTCTTTCTAATAACAAAATACACACGTTAGTAACTTTAAGGAAAATAATAAACCGAAAATCAAATTAAATAATTAAAATAGAGATTTGGGACCAAACCCTCAGAAATTAAACCTTTCACGTCTAGGGCGAAGACAACTTCGAATATGGCTAGGTGTTTCTAGATCTAATGAATGCGAAATTTTGTATGTAAAAAACAAGTTTAGAAAAGAGAAAGATGAATGAAGGAAATCTTGATGAGAATTAGCGAATGATTAAAGAGAATGAGAGAAAATTGAAAACTGGTTGTAGGTGAATATAGATGAATGTTGATGAGAATTGGTTCATGAAAACGGAGTTTTTAATACGTTATTTATAGAGAAAATCAGCCAAAAAGATAAAATTAACAAAACAGAGTCTGGCGCACGCAAAACGAGATTGGCGCCAGGAATCGGCCATTGGCGCAAGGCGCCAGGCGCTAATTCTGTTTTTGACGCGTTTTCTAAAATCAGATAAATTTTGCCGTACAGGAGGATAAAATCGTATCTTTTCCTCAAAATGTTCTTTGATTTTAATTAAAACTCTGAAAAGTCAACAAAAGTCACATTATCAATGCTAATTGAATTAGGAATGAAAAGAACCTTCTAGAAGAATTTAGAAGACTAAAACCATTCCTAATTGCATTAGGGATGATAAATCATATTAGGCCCTCCCCTAGATCATTGGGCCGCATATAAGGCTCAAACCGGGCCCATTTTAGTAAATTGGCCATAACTTCTTCAATATTCATCGGAATTGAGCTTATAATATATCGTTGGAAAGCCCTTGTCAAGCCCCATCCAAATACACTACTATTGGACCCATATCATGGACCAACCAAACTGTATTGGCTGTTTTCGTAAAATAAGTTTTCAAAAACAGAGAGAAGAGAAAAGAAATTAAAACTATCCGCAACACTAAACTTTCCACACTTTCACTTCATTCGATTATGATTCGACGTGAAAGGTACTCATCTCTGGGTTTGGTTTTGAGGAGACACATTTGGGTGTCTACACCTTAGCATCCTCTCTTTAGCATGATCGATTGGGACATCCGGGGTCTTCCATTTTAAAGGCTCTTAATAGTAATAAAAATATTGAATGTAATCATTCCCCTAGTTCTAATATTTGTCACTCTTGTGTACTTGGAAAACACATTAAGTTGCCTTTTATTTCTTCTAATTCAAGTACTACTTTGCCGTTTGATATTGTTCATAGTGATCTATGGTCTTCTTTTGTTTTAAGCTCTTCGGGTCATCGATATTATATGCTTATTTTGGATGATTTTTCTAAGTTTTTATGGACCTTTCCTCTAGCTAGAAAATCTGATGTTTTTGATAAGGTTTTAGCCTTTCAATCTTTTGTGAGCACGCAATTCGACCGACCTATTAAAAATTTCCAATGTGATAACGGGCGGGAATATGATAACAGACCTTTTTGGGCATTGTGTGAGTCTAATGGCATGTCTTTCCGTCTTTCTTGTCCCCATACGTCATCACAAAATGGAAAAGCTGAGAGGAAAATTAGATCTTTGGATAATATTATTCGCACTCTTCTTGCACATGCATCACTTCCACCATCATTTTGGCACCATGCATTGCAAATGGCAACTTACCTTCATAATTTTTGCCAAGTAAATTACTAGAGTACAAATCTCCTCTCCAAGTTCTCTATCAAAAGGAACCATCTTATTCTCATATACGTGTTTTTGGGTGTTTATGTTATCCCTTAATTCAGTCCACAACTATCAACAAGCTTCAACCTCGTTCCACACCATTTGTTTTCTTGGGGTATCCACCAAATCATAGAGGTTACAAATGTTATGACTTATCTTCTAATAGGATCATAATTAGCCGGCATGTTGTGTTTGATGAAACGGTTTTTCCTTTTGCTAAATTACACACACCAACTACACATACATATGATATTTTGGATGATGGTTTAACTCTTATGTGATTAATCACATGGGCATGCCTGAGCAGCCCAATTCACCACCTGTGGCCCAACACGGGTCTCCCTCAGCTGGCCCAACCTTCTCTCCTCGTAATCGGTTTGGGCCACACTCATCTCCCCCTACACGGACTGGGCCGCAAGATACTTCCCCTCCCAGCAGTCCAGTTCCGCTCCTTTCTTTTCCCAACAATGATGTTGTTGTTGGGCAGAATGGGCCACAGGAGGACCGTGGGCCTGCGCAGTCAGCCACGGCCCAACTGCGACCTACCCAACCAGCTAGCCCAATTGTTTCCTCCTCCCAACCCACTCCGATTCCCACTCCTCATCCCACCATGGTCACTCGTAGTAGAAATGGTATCACCAAGCCCAACCTGAAATATCACAATCTCAATACCATGGTGTCCACGGTTACGAAATCCCCTCTTCCTCGTAACCCAATTTTTGCTTTACGTGTCCCGAATTGGAAAATGGCTATGGATAATGAATATAATGCTCTTATTAATAATAAGACGTGGGAGTTGGTGCCCCGTCCGCCTGATGTTAATGTTATTCATTCTATGTGGATTTTTACTCATAAGGTGAAATCTGACGGTTCTTTTGAGAGGCATAAAGCCCGTTTTGTAGGTGATGGAAAAACACAACAGGTTGGCATTGATTGTGGGGAGACTTTTAGCCCGGTGGTCAAACCGGCTACCATCCGTACCGTGCTTAGCTTGGCATTGTCCAAAGCTTGGCAAATTCATCAGCTTGATGTTAAGAATGTTTTTTTGCATGGTGAGCTTAATGAGACTGTCTATATGCATCAACCTCTTGGTTTCCGTGATAAGACTCATCCTGATTATGTATGTTTGGTGCGAAAATCATTATACGGTCTTAAATAGGCACCCAGAGCTTGGTATAAGCGCTTTGCTGATTTTGTTACTTCTATTGATTTTACTAATAGCAAGAGTGACAATTCTCTCTTTATTTATCGTGATGGCTCGAATGTGGATTATTTGTTGCTATATGTTGATGACATTATTCTTACAGCTTCCTCTAATGCTCTAAGGCGTTCTATTATTTCTCTTCTTAGCAAGGAATTTGCTATGAAGGACTTGGGTCTTCTAAATTATTTTCTTGGCATTGCTGTGACAAGGCATAAGGGTGGACTATTTTTGTCACAACGTAAGTATGCCGAGGAGATTATTGAAAGGACCGGGATGAGTTCGTGCAAATCTTCGGCCACTCCTGTTGAGACAAAACCGAAAGTCAGTGCTTCGGGCTCACCTTTTGCAGATCCCACCTTGTATCGTAGCCTTGCTGGGGCGCTACAGTATCTTACTTTTACAAGGCCGGATATTTCTTATACGTTGCAACAGGTATGCTTACATATGCATGATCCGAAAGTAACTCATATGGCTGATCTGAAATGCATCATCCGATATGTACAAGGTACTCTTGACCATGGTTTACATCTTTATCCATCATCTATTTCTACACTTGTATCATATACAGATGCTGATTGGGGTGGGTGTCCCGATACGAGACGGTCCACATCTGGTTATTGTGTGTTTTTGGGTGATAATTTGATATCTTGGTCATCTAAACGACAGGCTACTCTCTCCAAGTCTAGTTGTGAAGCGGAGTACAGAGGTGTGGCTAATGTAGTTTCGTAGTCATGTTGGCTTCGTAATTTGTTGTTGGAGTTGCATTGCCCGATTAAAAAGGAAACTTTGGTTTATTGTGATAATGTGAGTGCTATTTATCTTTCGGGTAATCCAGTGCAACATCAGCATACTAAGCATATTGAGATGGACATTCTTTTCGTTCGTGAAAAGGTGGCTAGAGGTGAAGTACGGGTCCTTCATGTTCCATCTAGGCACCAAATTGCAGACATCTTTACAAAAGGACTACCCCGGGTACTATTTGAAGACTTCAAAGGTAGTCTAAGTGTCTGTCCTCTTCCCGCTTTGACTAAGGGGGTGTGTTAAGATATATTAGTATTAATATATCTTTGACTTAGTATATATGTAATTATTCTGTTTTCCTAATTTGTAGCTTAGCATATATTTTAGTGTATAGCTATCCCTTGATTTGTGGCTTAAGATAAGCATGTAATGTGTATATATATTCACAGCAAGTCTAATGGAAAACTCACGG